ATGAAATCAATACTAACAAAAAACGCCAAATGCTCGAAAACCAACAATCTTCCGTATCAGAAAGGTGTCTACGCTACGAGGTTGACTGCTTCTCCTTGTCCTCCAATTCACTATTTCAGATGTGAACGATTTGCTAGACAACTAGGAAGAGCTATCGAGCGCCAGAGGAATCACTTAACCTTTCTTTACGAGTAGAGGGACCACATGACATTAGAAAAGAATTTATTAATGTAAAAAACAATTATTAATACGCAATCTGATGAAAGACGCCACGAAAGAAAGAAGAGAAAGAAAGACATCTGCATCAGAGTGTGTGCACATTTAGAAAAATCTCTTAAAATCACGGTTTAGTCAAGACTAGGATGATTAGTATTCGAATTCTAACGAATCAGGTTCTCCACTTCCAGACCATTCTTCAGTGGTAAGCGATCCCTCCTCGAACAAAGCAGACGAGCTCTCCTCCTGAAGAGCTAAAAACGATCAATTACACTTGACACGAAACATTCCCAAGCAGGTGCCCACTATTGAAAGAGTTTTGTAGGAAGTCTGGCGAAAAAGAGTTGGGACTACTGAAACTGGTAGCTGAGCACTCACGGCGGACCGGCAGAATCTTAACACTTAAATTCCTGCTTATTTGTTACGTCGCGAGATCCCTTGAGTATACAGTTCTAAAACTGCCTACACACCCTGCTCCACCAACCTTTTCGAAGAAGTATTCCACGATAACGTCATGGGCGGACAAAGTTAACTGAACTGCCTTCCCCATTAGTGTCCACCTTTTTACCAGAACGAGATGCACACCAATGAGGATGCGTGATTCCGCCAGGTCGTCACGATCTGAGGCTAGCGATTATCCAGCCAATGGTCGCCAGAGTCCTAACTCCCTGGCATTGGCCGGGGAAAGTTACTCCCAGAAAACCAACGAGCGAAGAGCTCCCTCGCTGCCCCAACCTGAGAGTCTTCTTTGCATAGGAAAGTCTTTTAACCCAACCTTCACCTTGAGCGATATCTTCGATATCAGGCTGCCTCGTGACGTGGACTGTATACTTCGTTCCAGCTTCCACTTGGTGTCCATATGAGGGTTTTGATTTGTCCATATCGAAAAAGATTTCTTGCTCGGCCATACTTGGTGACGACGTTGTGGGAGATGTCGCACTGTATTCTTCATCTGCAAAACATTCTAGCCGTTTTCGTACTCATTTCGTGGCGGCTTTTGTCCCGTGTCAGAATTCGGGGTTGTAGGAAGATATTATGCATATAAATACGGCTCAAAAGAAAAAATTGCTCAGAACTCCACGATTCTCAGAAAAAAATCTTTGAACACCTGGGTGAACCCCTTAGAACTCGTTGGAATAGAACGCTTGAGAACAATAAGTTATTTGCATAGATGTGCTTCACAGTTCTCCAATTACAACACTCACGTACACTTACCCGCTGCACTTCGGCTTGAGGGAACATCAATGCTGCCGGATGATTCTTCGGGATGATCGTCCTGTAACCGAATTTGTTATTAGTAGAATAACGTAAACGGGCTCGCTCGATACTCTTCGAGGTTCCTCTCATATTCTTGATGCTGACATGCAAAGTCATGCTCCGCACTAGCCGTATAGGCGAAACTACCGTACTGTTGTGCTTTCACCGTTGGGGCCTCTCCTCATGACCGTCTTAATCGGGATTCGCACCAATTAAGAAAGCGCTGTAGTGAGCCTAGCTCCACCCCTAGGTCCAAATTGATCAATGAAAGTCAAATCCACTAAAGACTCCTTGGAGAAGGTATAGGCAAAATAAAGGCAGTTGGCACGATAAATTCCCAAGACGAGTAGGATTAATACGCCTGGCAGGACGGAATTCCGCGACCCTGAGCAGGCGCTGTGTAGCGCCTTTCCCGAGGAAGGTGCCCTTATAAGGCCCATAAAGCTGCAACATACCGATCCGCCCGCCCATAATACGACCGTACCTGATGCTCGTATTGCTTCATTTGCGAAGTAAAATATAGCATCCTGCTACCCTTTTTAACATCAAATTATCGTGCCATATGCCTTTGAGGAATAGACTCGCAGTGAGGACTGACCAGAATGAATGTAGAAACCACGGAAAGCAAATTAGCACCTTTCACCCGATTAGTCTCAGGAAGACTCATGACCCAAACCAATCTTCATTGGGCTGCAAAAGCACTTTGAATCACGGCCCTGGACCGTCAGAGTTTCGCCCTCAAGTAGAGGCGGAAACACAGTGCTCCTCCCCTATCACACCTCTCTGGGTTCTCCCTGTTTTGTTATGGAGCCATCACAGTAAGACGAACTTCTACTGCAAAAGTGGTATGTGCACTTACGGGAAGCATGGCCATGATGCGTAACAAAAAGGTCCGTCTCCAGCTTCTCTATTCGCATGACCACGGCATAGTTGTCAATTTGATGTGATTCTTTTGTGGCTGCTAAGAGGAAGGTTTATTTGGCCTATCATTTCGACGTTCTCAGAGGCCCGAAGACGTCAAAATGGTGTCCATACACGGACCCTTACGTCAGGCAACAAACCGTACCCAAAGAAGCTCACCATGACCTAAACGACCTCTTGTAGCCATTGGCCGGGGAGAGTCACTCCCAGAAAAACCAGCGACCGATCTCGCAGAGAGTTCCCTCATCACCCCAACCTGCGGTCTTTTTTTGCATGCCTTTTCAGTGCGACACAGCAAAAGTGCAAAAAAAAATACAGAAGGAGAGTTTATGAAACGAATTTGGAAAAACCATGACTGCGCTGAAAAGTTAGCGGGGGTGCTGGGACGGAGCTTGCAGCACTACCTACGGTGGTTTGGTTAACCAACTGCCTGATGTGAGGGGTGCGTCCGATTTCATTTGAAAATTTCCGATTTGGAATGAAAATAGTGTATATAGCCTATTCTGCAGCATTTATACTACGAAAAAAGAATCACCCACGTTGCGGAAGAGCGCTCCATTCTCAAGCAGCTGCTCGTTGGCCTCAGGGTTGTCAAAAGGTGAAGCTTGATGGAAGACGTTCGACAATTGCAGAAATGGATTCTCGACCTCAATAGGCTGAGAGAGGGAGCTCGGCAACGTTACACTGTTACTCCTCTGCAATGAAAATGTCTAGGAGTTTTTGTGGTTGAAAATAACGCTCTCAAAATTAAAACATGACAAATGATATCCAACAGAAGCAACATAGTGGGTGCTAATCGTTGTGAATAAAAGTGATGCCCATTCTCTCCATAATCAATTTCTGCTCACGTTTTTGTCCGAGTACATCCGCTTGATTTCTTTGTCGAGATCGGGATCGATCCGAAAACTTTCGCGTTTACCCTCGCGAGCCGTCAGAAATGCGCACGTGTGTGGAAGAAGTCCACCCAAGAAAGAAGTCAGATGAGTGGCGGAGAGAAATGAGGTTGAACTCGATTCGCTTGGGGAAAGCGGAAGTGTGAGCATCTCCTGGAATAGCTGACTCTGTCTTTCTTTATGTAAAGAAAAGGATCACTAAAGACTGACCAGAAGCAGCGAGCCCGCGGTGCCCTCGCACATCATGTTGTACTTGGTCCGAGTACAGGACATCAGGCACTGAGCGATTCTAAATTGAGAAAAAAAAAGAAATCAAGTTTGATGTCAATAGATTATTGCCTTATT